AGAGGGTTGTCTTGCCTAGAAGCAGCAGCTGTGTTCGACCAAAGGTCCTGCAATCCCCTCTCCATCTCCTATGAGGAGCAACTGAGGGAACTGGGAGTGTTTGGAGGAAAGGAGGATCAGGGGGCACCTTGTCACTCTCTACAACTCCCTGAGACAAGTTTGCAGTCAGGTGTGTGTCAGTCTCTTCTTCCAAGTAACAAGAAATAGGACAAAAAGAAGCAGCTTCAAGTCACGCCAGGGGAGGTTTAGGTTGGATATTAGGGAAAATTTCATCACTGAAAGGGTGGTCAAGCATTGGAACAGGCTGTCCAGTGAAGTAGTGCAGTCAACATCCCCGAAAGTGTTAAAAAAATAAGTAGATATGGTGCTTAGGAACATGGTTTAGTGGCAGACCTAGAATGTTGGGTTAATGGTTAAACTTGATGATCTTAGAGGTGTTTTCCAACCTTCATGATTCTATAACTCTATGATCTCTGTGACAGAAACCCCCAGCACATATATGGAAAAATGTCAGAAGTCAAAACTAATTCTTCTCATAAGGTATTCTCCTTGTTCCTATCACTCAGTGCACTACAGACTGACAACAGAAGTTTCATAAAACCAAGAATGTTTAGTGGTATTCTAGCCTGATTATATTTTTGGTATTCTGTGGCAGAAAATCCTGCAATTTAATTGTGCTGCATGACAGAAAATTTTATTCACTTTAAACCTCTTTTGCTCCTTGTATTAACATAGTCTATAAATATTCCCCTCTTCACAATGTTCTTCATAATGTTTGTCACAGTATACACCTCAGTGATCTCCTTTCAAAGAGTTCTAAATTTGTCTCATTTTCCTTTGAATGGAAGCAGATACATACAATTACTGACAAGACAACCACTATCAAACCCAACTCTTGTTACAGAGACTGAAACGCTTCCAAAAATTAATTATTTAAAATAATCCAAACAGTGCAAATATCCAAAGATCAGGCAGATCTATGAAACTTGCCTGCAGCAAAATCATGCAATTAGAATCATGCTCATAAGTGTTGCAGTCTTAAAACATTAATAGATCATTTTAATGGAAGGAGTTATTAAAATTGTATTTGATTTGCATTATTACAACACTGAATGCGCTATGGAAAACTGAGTTCATGAGTGAGGTATAGCACAAACCAGAGTCTTATTATCTGAGCTGGAACTTTAAAATAGACCTTGCTTTACAGTTCTGAATTTTCTTTAGTTTTATTTCTTTTCTAAATTGATAAGAACTCGGGTTTTTATATTAGAAATAGAAAATGAGGAGGAGGATAAGAAAATAGCTGGAGATTGAAATAAAGACTGAGAAAAGCAATTTGAGGAAAAAACAATCCTTTCCAAAGTAAGTAATTTTTATCATAAATGAGATGTATTGTTGTGATCATAGCCACTATCAAAAGTCCCATGAATTGCAGGGTTTCTGTAGACGATTTAGGAAGAAGTTGGCCCAAATGTGGAAGCAATTATAAAGAAATTCATGACTCTTTAGTAAGCATTCCTTGTTTTATTTCTGTTACAAATAGACTGTAATTTGTGGATCTCTATCTGACATCTTTTTATTGGGCACTTACCCTCCCTGACCTGTTTATAAAATTCCCCATTTCATTAGTGGGACATCACCAGCAAATCTGATACACAAATGTCTCCTTTAATCCAGCAGGAAGCAGAGTCTGTTGGAGTTAATGGAATAATTTCAATCATTTCTAACAGATTTAGGAATAAACCCGCAAGGGTTAAAAGAATATATATAACCATAATTACAAAGTGGAAAAAGGAATACAGTTTCTTTGCAACTGAGATATTTTTAGGGTTTTTGTTCTTTAGAATCCCTGTACAGGTATGTCCCTCATGCACAGTTGTCAAAAATAGTGTTTAGGCATTTAGGCTTGAGTTGATTTAATCCAGTACAGAAGCGTGCTCTAAATTTTTCAGGGCAGTGCAAATGTGTAAAAATGGTGTCTTCGTGTACAAAAGCTCCATTTCACTTAGAAGAACCATGCTAATAAATTAAATAAATGAAAGTATTTCTATTAAAAATAGAAACAGTGTCTCATAGAAAAAAATATCATCGATCTTCTGAACTTAAAATATGTTTTAAAATTCAGTGTTCAGATCCTGAGCAGGTGTAAATCATCACAGAAATTATGCTGTTACACTTTACATGATATTACCAAATTGTCTTGCTGGTAATTAAGAATATCCTCTATGGAATAAGGACCAATGACAGGAGAAAGTATAAGTTGATATTGTCTCAGCACACATAAGTGGTAGACAGAAATATTCATGTGCATAATCTTATACCTTACCTACATGATACCCAGTGGGCTAAAGTAATAGTGTACAGAATTATCTTGGAAAAGACAATTCTCAACAGAAACTAAAAATCTTATGAGTTGTGTGTGTTTCTCATAATTATACATGGCAAAAAATGGAGATAAAACTAACAGGCATGCTCTTGGAAAATGTTTCTTTATAAATGCTTCTTTAAACTTTCAGCACATTATACTCAAATGTTTTTCAGGCCCAATTTTTCTGTATTTCATGCCAAGAAAATCAGTATTTCTTTCTCCCTTTCTTTTCATGGGTCTATTAGGTTTGCAATCTGCAGCCCAGGGAAACATATGCGATTCCTACTAGTCAGGAAGGTAATGAAGTCGTTCTGATCAAACATGAAATTTTTGCCCTGAATTTCTGGTGTAAATTTCAAGGGGAAAGGCCACCTGAGAATTCAACAGCCACTTCCATGAAGAGCCAAACAAGCCACTCTGTCTGCTACAGAACAGCTCCTTTAACTTACCAACATAATGAGACCTTTTCAGAATCAAACTTTTCTTTAAAAACAAGGGCTTCCCTTCCTTGGTATTAAAAGTGAACCTCTCCTGATTCTTGTGAAAATTATTTTTAACAGCTTCCTTGAGGAGATGTCCTTTTCAAGCGACATATTCGAGCAATTCCTCGGGGTTGGAATTTGAGGTGTTCGTGGAACGTGCTCTGACCTCTGTGTTCAGCTCATGGCTTTCCCCAATATACTTTGAGCTTGTTTTCAATTCCAATTAAGTCACTATGGGGATGTTAAGTCTAAATTCCACGTAACAAAACATAAAGCTGATGACCAATTCCCTATTTTCTCGTTTTGGATAGTAAAATAAATTTTGGTTCTACTATCCAAAATATTTAGAAGTAGTCAGCTGAGGGAGAAAAAACATAGTGCATAGTGGTGAATGATGTTTGCATGCATATGTTTAAAATCTCCTATATGTCCAAAGCAACCAGAGTCATGATGTCATAAACAGATGACATTAAAAGGCCAAAAATGTGAAGACAAAAAGATCTTCTGTATAGATTATCTGTGGTAATCCTTATTGCAGATATTGAGGGATATTCTAGATTAGGAGAAATCAAGAAAGAGTTAGGCCTATGTGTAGGTTTAGTCTTTGATCTTATACAAAGTGTAGAAGGCACTACTCTGTATTAGAGGTCCCCTGAGCAAGAACCATTATCTAGGCATCCAGTGCAAACATATTACCTTTGGAAGTCTTATTCCAAGGTATGAAAAAAATCCCCCAACAACAGGAAGAAATAGAAATATTTGTAAGCTTCTCTTGAAACCCTCAGAACCAAACTGGGATGTCTTTTAAGACAAGCTCAAACATTGTCCCTCCAGGATCTCTGATCAGGCAGTTTCCTGATCTTCACGTCTGCACACTCCAAGCAGGAACATGCTGAATATTAGCATCTTTCTGGAGCTGTTTAATATATGTGGTTCTATTTTAGCCTCTTGGTATCCTGTTGGTATCCTGACTTCTCTTATATCCTGTAACATAGTGAAGTGTAGCTCTTTTCCTTATTAATATAAAACATACAAGTATCCACATATGAGGACTAGTGAAACATTGCCTGTTGTAAAACAGCAAGTATTTTGTACAGAGGGAAAATTCTGTGACCTGCCTACTGAATGACAAGCACAAACAGTTTCTTATGTATGGCCTCCAGTGAACTCATCCCATTTTGTGAATACTGGAGCTTTTCAAACCTCCAGAGTTTTGTGTTTAGGAAAGCAGATGTGCAAATGGAGATCCAGGTGACCTCCCCTCTGAGGATCAGGCCTTTGACATACATTACTCCCCTGCTGACAGCACGAGAAGTGTGGATCAGTTGGCATTTCACACCTGCAACTAATGTAGAAGTTGTAACAATATAAGAGAGCATTAGGGATAGGAGCGATGCTTTGGACACAAACCAGCTATATTTAACAGGAAAGGTGCAAATCCACATTACAGCTCAGGATATATATTAGCTCCAACCCTTCTTTAACCTAGAAAGAAAGAATTATGTCCAAGGGAACTTACCTCAAAGAGTTTCTCTTTCCTCTGGCAGAAGTGATGATTAGGCCAAAACTGGCCATTTGTTTTATCTGTAGGTGGGGAATAGACGATTTAGTCCGTGTGGCTTCAGCTGCCTTGGCTCAAGATCCTGACCTACAATAAATACCTCTTCACAATCAATAGAGCAATGAACTTGGAGTAGAGCCCAGGACCTTTCCCAGCAACTTTGGCCTGGACTGAGCTGACCTGGTAAATCTGTGGGAGCAGGAAGAGATCTCATTGAACATCCCGAGTTCTCCAAGTCCTCTCTGCCTCGGGAAGTCTGTGCCTCCAGTTAGGCTGCTGGAGCCAGGAATTACAACAGCTTTTCACATACTATTTTCTTGTTGGCAACAGATGTTCTGCACTGCTTCTTGGGCTTTTTGGACTTTACTGATGCTGCAGCATGCATTCTCCTACAACACTCATCACTGACTGGGGCTCTCCTCACTAAAGCAGATCTATCAACTGCAGAGCATTTGGGGTTGGATGGATTTGTCTGCTGACTCGTCTAGGAGTAGTAAAATTTTTGGGTGGGTATAAGGGTACCATCATCTTTTATATCAGCTTGCTCTAGCCCTGGGAATTCATCTCCACTTGATGGATTTTGGAGGTTTCTTTGTCAGCATGTCAGGTGGCTGCTCAGATACCTCCCTACAGCCTGATGCCTCCTGCCTTTCTTCCTGGCTGAGAAATGTCAGAGGTGGAAGTGAGCAGTTTTATCTCCTTCAGCAAGGTGTACAGGGTGGGGATGGGTCACAGTAGCATATCTCTCCTTGAAAAGTCAGGGGGTGCAACCCCCACCAAAACGGGCCCCTGGGCAGTTACGTGACATTTGGCTTGAGAAAGGAAACCGGTTTGTCACCTCATTGCTTCATGGTGTCATCCCAAGGCAGAGCTGAGGAGCACCTGTGGGCTAGATAAGATAAGATGATATTATTGAGACTATACTCATCATGTTCTGAGGATATTCTAGTTTCCAACCTCAAAATGTGATATATTAAAAATGTGGAAGGGTTCTCAGTTACAGGAATATTAATTTATAGGTTTTCCTACCAAAGAAAGCAAAGCATCTGACCCTACTCATCTTTCTGATTTCTATTAGAAGATTCAACAGCTCCAAAGCAGATGAGATCTGCCATCAACCATGACCCCTTGGCCTGAGAACTGTGTGTACACATAGGAAAGGTGCTCTTCCCCAGAACAACACAGGCTACAGATGAAGTATGTGTAGATGCTTTGGTGTAACGTGATTGCACGTGTGTACCCTGCAAAATGCATTTTGGATGCAGTTGAGAGTAGTGGTACATACAATTCAGAGTTATTAGGTACAGTAAAACAGGTAGGAAGGGCACAGAAAAGACATGGGAAGGTCTAGATTAAGGCAGGAAAAAAGAAAAGATGATTGATGTGGAGACAGCTAAAAGGATGACAGGTGTGACAGGCAGGATCAGGTAGGACAAATCCAAATGGTTTACAAGAAGATGGAAAAATGCCTCTCTGGCATTGTACCTTTAGTGTTTTCCACAGTGATATTATAGTGCTTTTTCTATTCTTGCTGCAAACAAAGCACTGAAGTTCTCCTGATTATTTTTTCCCCTGTGTAAGATGTCCTTTACGCCGTGATGAGATCACTGGTGTATTAGTTCATTTCAATCTTTTCAGAAAGAATCCAGGAACTGCAGTGAGGTCATGACTGCAGTAATGTCTAAAAGGATGGTTTTATGGAGGAAAGGAGAAATATTCCTCTCATTTAGAAAAACTGTAACAGAATTTGTGGCTCTCAAGTGTGCTGGACAAGTTAAGGTTTGCTTGTTTTTCTGTTGCATTCCTTTGCAAAAGCCAATCTGCTTCATACTTTTGTTCTTTCCTTAAGTATTGCATAAATCTAACAAAGGTTGCAGACAAATCACCCTGCTAGAGCAGTGCTCCACCTGAACAATCATCTATCAGCATCCCTACCCATGGTACCTCCCCAGTCACACAGTCAGGAGCAGGGTAAAAAATCAGACTCTTCTGATGACCTGAATGTCCTCACATTAGACCTTCTCTATCATTCAGAAGGCAGATGCCTCACTGGGAACATCCTAGTTCCCATGCCTTTCAAGGAGAAAAATCCTTGGGGCATCCCCTAGGGCCACAGTATCACTGCTTAACATGACATATTTGTGCCTCACGGATCAATGGAGCAATGTCAGGCATGAATTTGGACCGTGACATTTCAGGCAATGACCTAAAAAAAGAAGTGGCTCAGGAGTGCCAAAATTTCACTGTTACTCTGATTTTTACCTCTAGTCTTTTCCACTCTCTGTGGAAGTGATAAGACTTAATGATATAATTCTGAAAGGTCTCTGGATGGATTTAGTACTGGAAAGAAACATGGAGAGAGATGGAATCACATGGCTCTCTTTATCATGGCCAATGTATTGTATTTTAATGTGTTCTAATGAACTTAACAATTACTCCCCAGTGTGCTTGCTGCCTGGTTCAGAGGGGTTATTTTGAGTTTGCCATCTTCCTGGATTCTTGAGACAGTTCCCCCTGGATTTGTTGGGTTAACAACAAAGTGGTGATAAATACACTTCTGCTTTAATCCAGCACTGTGCTTTCCCCCTCTTTGCAAAGTGGATTTGTGCATACCAAGAGTTACACTGCTCCTGGTTTAGCAACTTTAGGGTATTAGTGACGTTCATCACAAAACCAGTTCCTCTTTCATATCCAGAGCCCAAATGTCCTGGATGATCCATGGGACACAGAGGATGCTGAAGGTTTAGTTTTGCTGAAAGGGTTTAAGAGCTTTAGTTACCCAGAGAGGGGTGGGAGATTAATGGTGTTTTTTGGTAATGACAGGGACCTGTGAGCTCTGAATCCCATTGCATGCAAAGAGGAACCCACCTCTACATATTACTAATATGCATAACTATGGGAAGTCTTTTAAATAAAAAAAGACTAATTAATAATGCCAAGTGGTCTGGATGTCTAAGTATGAATTGGATTTCTGCAGGCTTAGGGAGGTGGGGAAATGGGTTAACATTGCATTGTTTCAAATTACAAGGTTTTAAATTGCTTAAAACGATAAGCAGAGAGGGTTTCCACACCAGATTTGAGACGTTAGTTCTCTTTTATTTGTACTAAAGTTTCGGCTTGAGCTCACATTGTCATTCTACCCAGACTGCTTCCCAGACCAGCTAATTTGTCTACCTGTGTTCCATTTTAGGCCTTGGTTTTAATTTGAGCATGATTCCTGCTAATACCAAAGACTGGATAGGACATCCATTAAAAGTCTACACAGCAATTGAAATGGAAAATTCCAAAAGAAACCCTATTAGAGTTTTTCTCCATCAAATCAACATTACAGACTTCTTATGCATTTCTTAATTAGACATTGATATTAACTGGACTGTTGCATGATTTAAATCTAGCTCTTAATCTCAGCTATTCTATGCTGCTGTAGTTTTTATGACATCCAACTAGCGACTGCTTTATGCATTAATCTATCTGGAAAACCACCTTCCCATTTTTTTTGTCTTTTTTTAGAAGAATAAAGGCCCCAAAAAGGAAATGAAAGCTTTTGGGTTCAGCCATTAGTAATTTTCTGCTTAGTATTTGAAAAATTGCTTATTTTAATTGCTTCATAGAAGAAAAAGATATCAAAGCTAACATTCTTTCTCTCCAAACTTTGTAATTATTTCTCTCAGACTCTTATTTGAAATGCCTTGAAAGGATTTTCATTGAAATGTAGATTTCTTCTCTTTCAAAAGTACTTTTATTCCCCCGTGCTTCTTTCTTTTTTTTTTTTCCTCCTAGTGACTTCCTCTCTAGATTCAGAGCACAATACATAGTCTCCAATCTCTGGACACCACAGCATGTGTCACATAGATTTCCCTTAAGTGTCATCTTTAAACCTAACCTTCCCATGGCCCATAGACTGTGCTGACAATTGGCCTCAGGTCTTAGTCTGGTATCCTTGGGATTCCTCCAGGGACAGGGAAGAAAAGTCACAGGTGTTATAGGGGTTTGCTCTATCAGGATCAACTCATTCTGAAAATTTCTGTGTGATTTGCTTATTAATATCACTACCAAAATCAGGGGAACCAAATGGGAAAGTTTTTTAAATGCTACGCGAGAGTGTCGGTGAGCTGAAGTTGGGGCTTGTGGTAAAACCAAGGGACAGGTAAGCTTTGTGTAGTTTTGGGTTCTGTTTCCAGCAGTATAAATCCTGGATATCCTAATCCAGGAAGGAATTTGCTAACCAAACCCTGTAGTTAATTCTGCATTGTATTTAAACATTGTATTTAAACAAAGCTGCAGGATCATGTTTGCCTCCTTGGTAATCCTTGATACCAATACAGCAATAGTAGCAAGAAGTTCTTTATTTCACCCACACCTTTACAGGGAGCATTATTTACTAATGGGTTATGATCTGGTCAAAATGATCTATACATTCATTACATTTGGAGTGGGCTTTCATAACTCACAGCATCTAAGAATGAGGCAAAACTCACATTTGGTTATAGTGCTGTGATTCTGCTCGGCTGAAAAAGGTGCACTTGTGGTCTGCTAAGCACTTGTGGTCTGCTCTGAGTCCCAGGTGATTTCTCATGCCAGCTCAAAAACATCTTTGAGAGCCTCAGAAAAGTGGGGGACCTGGCTGCCTCAGAGACACCCCATACAGTTGTTCCTCTGCAAATAAGTCACCCCACAAGCCTCTCGTGGTCACGGCTGAGGTTATCTCACAGGGAGAATCTTCCCAGTGGAACTAAACATTTTGAGAAGATTGAAATGAAGCTAAAGTATTCTCAATATCAGATTTTACACGCATTTTTTGCAATAACACAAAAGGAAGAAAGAGAATAAGAAAATGAGTTAGAGGGAGACGGAGAGAGAGATGGTCTATTAAGCAAAGCTACTTTTTTACTCTCTGAATTTACAGTCCTGATAGACATCTTTATTCAAAATTACTCATTTTTTATATTCAGATACTATAGCTTTCAGTACTAGGTCCTAGATTTGTCTGGACAGATTACCCTCTTATTTCCACAATGAAACTTAATTATCCTTTTTATGTCTTCAGATACTTCCAGTCATTTCCTGAACTGTTTCTGGGGACAGAGAGCAGCTCATGGGTCAGTCAGTAAAGTAAATACTGTGCATCCCTGTTGGCCACACATTTTTGAATATAAAAGCCCTTTGGTCCCAGGTTTTCTTAGAAAAATTTGAGGGCTGGTCCATGTAATTTGCTCTGATCTACTTTTGCTGAGCTTTTTTTTCTGACTAGGCAGGGACTCGTCATTTTCTCAGCACCTTTCTGTGTATTACTTGGAAGCATCTAAATGTGACTAACTCACCTGGAATCTGTAGAAGGATATTTGAATGCGTCATCTCTGAGACAAGAATAACCCCTCATGAAATCCAGGGTGGAAATCACCGCGTGGTTTCAAACACCCCTTCCTGTATCCCTGCTGCTGCAGCAGGAAGGAATGCATCTGAGTAGTTAAAGTCCAAGTGACTAAATAAATTGCTTCAAAGCAATAGTAGTAGCACAGAGGGATGTGTAAGTTGCTGGTATTGAGTAGTTACTAGACATCAGGAAACTTTGTTGCTTTCATCCATAAAGAAATTATCCATTACCTCTACCTTCTGTCTGAGCAAAACTAACACAGAGCAGTCAACACAGAAAGGTTGCATGAGATAACCCAAGACCTGCAAGTATTAAAGAGAAAATTATGAGTATCCACTCAGCTTTTGAGAGTTAGTTTTTAGCTTTTATTTTTTCGAAGTATCAGTTGTTCAAATAAGAAAGTAAAGTGTTACAACTAATTAAAGTATAAATTGGCTTAAGGAAATTACCCAAATAATTAGAAAGCAGAAAGAGAACACAACTGGGTGTATTTTATAGAATCCTTTATGAATGAAATGCTAAGTCCTAAAGAGCTGACCTGGTAAAATAATATTGAAATATATAAACAGAGCACGTGTTGTTGTAGTACCCACATAGGTTTTATTGGGTTGGACAAATAGTTCAACAAATGAGGAACAAATGCAGTTTTGCTAGGCTGGAATGAACAACTGACTTTGTATAGACTTTATACATTGCATAAAACCCAAATTAAACAAAATTTCTCTTACCCTGGCATAGTATTAACTCTGCAGTTACATCTCTGCCCGAAAGTTGCTTCTTCCAAGTCCAGCTTGTGACTCCAGCCTGAAAGCAGGAACCAGGATGGTACAATATCACTGAGACCACACAGTCTGTCATGCCAAAACCAGAAATCAAGATGTCACCACGGTATAAAACATGAGTTTCTCCGTCACACCCAACCTACATTTTTTCCTGATGAGTTTATCACACTTAATTTCCACTAGCCTGAGAGAACAATTCTCATTCATTCATTCAGTTTTGGTGATTCAAAATAATTATTAAAAGAAAGGATACTGAAAACAACAAGCAGCAGGATCCAGGGATTGAGGGTCTTGGGCTGAGCCCCTCTTTTTGCTGCTGATGGGTTCTGCCCTCTTAGACCTGTCACTTCAACCCTCAGCCTGGGTGCATTTACCTGCCTCCATAAAGCAGATAGTAAGCACTGTTTATGGGGCTCTTACACTCCCATGTGCTGTAGGGTCTGTACAGTGTATGGCAATAAACTGGGTCCTGATCTCACCTCTGTCCTCACTCCCTGCCACTGGAAAATGAGTGATAAAAAATAATAATAATAATAAGCTCAGAATAATTATGTATTGTCTTTATAGGGAAACAGGCCTTGGGCATTGTGAGCTCTCCACCGGGAGAAGTCCCATTTAAAAAACCTCCCTGGCATAAAAATGAATTGAATCCTGTCACATGAATGGCCTGCATTTACTATTCTTTTCACTTACCTTCTAGTCGTTCATTTTCTGAGCTGACTTGTGCCTCTTCCCTCATTGTCAGCGGGAACTGGGTAACAAGAACTTGCTGGAAATGGAGTAGTAAATAAATAAACAAACACAGAAAAAAGCTGCTGACTTGGCAGATGCACTATTACAGCCATGATGTAAAACTATCCAACAACAAATGCGACTTCTGAATGTCTCATGATTCACTCCACAAACAGCAAGTGAGGAAACTGAAAGAGGATTTTGACCAGTGATAATGAATTTGGAACAACACTGGATTTTCAGATCATAAGAAATTCAGGATAGGTCTGAGTTGAATCCTTGATCACAGGTATTCTCCTTCCTATAGCCATTGTAGCATCAAGCACTTCATCCATCATCTGTAAAAAGTCAGCACTTGGACTACCCCAATACCACTCCACTATAGCCAGGAAAATTAGTCAGCATCTCTGCTCTACAATAACGAAAATATTTGGGTAGTTCAGGAGAACTCCTCTCCTCCCAAGCAGCGAGCAGCTCTTACTGTGATACCAGGCTCCTTGTTTCACCCGTTTCAAATCTGAAGCTCTTGGAAAAGGTACCAGTTCATAACTGCTGCATTGGTCTTACCTCAGGAAGATGGAGAAAAACAGAGCAGGGCAGAGGCAGAAACAACCCAAGTAACTTAATGGATGTTTTGTTGGGAAAAAAAGAGGAGATTAATTAATGGGAAAAGCCTGATGGTCATTAAGTGTCCTGGAGCAACTATTGTGACAGTGAAGCAGCGAGTTCCTGTGTAGCTTTAAGACATCTGCCCTAAGGAAACATTCGCAATTGAAACTGCGTCCTCGTTTTCCCAGCTCTCCAATTCCCATGGGCCAGCAGTTGCCTTGCTAAATGAAATGCCTCTTTAGGGAGACCTGCTGGCCCCAGGGACTGGTAATGCAATACAGAGCCTTTCATCTCTCACCCATGAACCCAAGTCAAACAGAGTTTGGTAAATGGCCAATAACCCTTACCATCCCAGGGCTGTTTGGTGACCTGTGTGAAATGAGGAGGGTCATCTCTGTGTCTGTTTACTAGAAGGCAAGTGTCAACTTCACCATAAAAAGGGACACAGTTACTACTCATTATCACCCAATTTAACATTCTGAAGACAAGAGAATGAGCCTGGAAAACTCAGCCATCTTCTGACCCAACGATGGCGGTCCCAGGACATCAGGGCTTGAAGAACATTAATGAGGACAGTTGCATTGTAGCAAACCAGGCTGTGCCTCTCCTGCCAATAAGAAATCCAAGTCTGAACTAGTCAGAGTAGCACATGATTGCAGTTTTTCCCAGATCTACACGGAAATCCATGGGATTTGGTTCAGTTTTTAGGGGCAGCAGGCACTGAAGCACAGCCACGAAGTTACACAACGCCACAGACTTTTGCAAATCTGCACTTATGGTTTTAAATAGACACAGGCAACCTGAACTGGGACACAGCATCCAGCATTGATAGAGTTAATGTGCTGAGAAACCCTTTACTGGAAGGCTCTGTTCCCTCACCCATCATGAATACACTGTTCTGGTTACCAAAATAGCTGTATTTGGAAGGGTTGAAGGCCAGAAGCTCTCTGCAGTACCCATTCTTGCCCTGTGCACTGCTCATTTTAAGGTCAGACCTTTGGCATCAGGAACCTGTTAGAAGAAAGAGGAATCACTTTAAAAGTTGTTGCCACTCTGGGGATTACCCTGGAAGGTCTGAGAGGGTAAAGGGAAGGGCAGGGGCAGATAAACACTTGGCCACATGAAAAATCAGCTGTCCCTAAATTTCAATACATCTGCATAAACCTCCCAAGGCTCCAGCCAGCCTGTTCTTACTCACAGTGTTCCCAGTCACCACTATCATTTTGTAGCCCTTCTTATACCACAACAACGACAATTTTGTCATTGTCAACTGAGAGTTACTGTTTAATCCCTCCTATCTTGATTAATTGCATTAAATTGGTATACCTATGTTAATTAAACAGAAGATGGCAGAGGCAGCTTTTACTTCTTATCCTTTTGCATAGAGCATTTCCCAGGGCTTCACAGGTTGTGGAAAAACAACAATACAGACACGCAACACGTCACATTTCAGCACAGCTGATAAAGCTATTTTACTCATGCAGTGGTCCACTATTCTTTTTGCATATCACAGTATAAGTTTAATTACCACGCCGCTGCTGCATGGCAGCTCCTCTCGCTTTTCCTTTTTTCTATTTGCATTATTTGCAAGTCATAATCATGTTTTCCTGTCATCCCCGAGCAATGTGCCTGCGTGCGTACAGGCAAATGCCAAGCCTGGAAAGGAAATTTGATGCGTGTCCGTGAATTGGAGTTTTCAAACTTTGGCTGAAGATTAGTACATGTAAACATAGCTCTGCCCCCTTCATCTTGGATAATTGGTCACAAATGCTACTTGACACTTCTCAAATCAGACACTTTACATACTTCTGAGCATAGCTGAACTTTTTTGGCAGGAATTAATTTGCTTTGCAACTTAGCTGCTCATTCCTGGCCCGATCCCTGCTCCAGTGATTTCAGGGCAATGTTCTGCCAGTGTGAGGAGCACAGAGGCAGGACTGGATCTGTTTGCTAGTGCTGACGAGCCCGCCTTGGTGACTCTCTCAAAAAAACAATTACTGCAGCTAATGTTCTGCCCTTTGGCAGCCCTGATTAACATTGGGATTTTTACCTTCGGGTCCCTCTTTCTATTCCAATTACTGTGCAAGTTGCATGGCATCAGGGGACATCACAGAAAAACAAAGAAGGCAATGTAGCATCACCAGAAAATGCAACTTCTGACGCACCAGGAGACTTCCACAGCAGCATCAGCTTTATGGGAGATGGTTACAGACACCATCAGCCTCCAAGGGGACTGTCTCACTGTTTTCCTGCCTGTCCTGCTAACAGTGCATGCTCCAGCAGAGAAGGGAAATCCATTTCTGAAGTACTGATGAAGTTTTGAAGTAGCCACAGAATTTCATGCTGTTAAGCAGCCCCCTGTTTGCTCTGACATTACGGCGTGTTTACTCACCGTGCACCGGTACTGCAGGAGCTGAGCAGACCATATGCTCACTTAGAAGGGCTGCCAGGTCTCAGGGAGCATTGCTGTGCCTATTCCAGGAGGAGTTTGGGGCAAGAACGCATTCCATAAGGGTTTTCACTAGGAATATTGTATTTTATCTGGTGATTTATTTCTGTCCAGCCTCTGGACTAAATGGCAGTTTATCAGCATACCCATGTAGATCTGTGAATAACCGATAGAAAATATCATTTGCCCTTTATTCACTGGGATGTTGATAAGCTGCAGCATATTAAAAATGTTTGTCAGTTTGTTCTTTTCAGCTATCAAATGGAATGTGTGCCAACATGCCCTCCTCTTGCTGGCTGCTTCATCCACAAAACTGAGAGAAAATGATGAAACAATGTCAGTTCTAGAAGAGGGCAAAAGTTCACACGAGTTATTTTAGCATTATTGTCTTGCTTATCACTAGCACTAAATCTGTAAATTAGAATGGGCTCCTACCTGCAGAAGCAAAGGATGAAACTTCGTGCTGTGCTTCAAGAGCAGACCAGGAGAAGAGCAAATCCCTGGTGATGCACCTGTGTTGCCTTGGTTCTCATGACTTCCTGCAGCTCAAAGCACTGATGAGGATTAGCCAAGACAGAAACAGTCCACATGATGTTTCTCTGGCCGCTGGGTGCTTGGTCCCCACACTTTCCAATCATGGTCTTGTACAGGTTCATCCCTAGAAAAGAAGGGTAGATTGTGTTACCAGAGATATGGCAGATTCACTGTTGAAAAGCAAAAATTGCCCCTGAATTTGCCATGGACTAATGCAAGTGAAGACATTGCATGTTAATATGTCTTGGGTTTTCATAGGTTCTTACCTTAAAATAAACAAATGGAGATTTTTTTGCTTCCTGCTGTTTAACTCTGATATTGGAATCATTATGATATTTATGGGTGAACAAGGCAACAATTGGCCAAGAGATACAACATAGCTCTAAAGCCTCAGCTAAGGAGGAGGCTTAGTTTCCATTGCTATTATCTATCACTATAAATTTAGCTTTCAGGTCCTAGACATTTTAAAATAACATGTCTAGTGTTAAAATAGGAGAGTATCAGAAAAAGCGAATTACAGGTTACAGGCTTCTAGTATTTGCAGTAATAGAACTATTACCATAATTACACCAGTAGAGTACTCGTTTATGTTGTTATTAGGGGAAAGGGATGGTAGAATTAGGATGTATGGAAGGAAAACATTGCAGAAGGGGAGCCAAATAGTTTAGCTGGGACAAAGATGGACACTGATGGCTATTGAACACACTCTTGCTTTCAGCACATGAGGTCCCTGTGTGTGTGTGGACCTGCAATGTCCAGTGATTTAGGTGAAACTGCTATAGGTCACCAATGTCTGGTACAAATGGAAACAAATCACATCCCACAGAAAGGTACAGCCTCACACACAAACCCAAGTTGGGATCTGATGACTTTTTGTGCCGTTGAACATCTCCATAGTCTTTGCTGGGTGAGAATGGAGATTGACCACGTGACTCCATGAGCTCAATGCTTCACAGACAGAAGTCCTTCTCCATCGTAGAAAAGATCAAACCCAGACTCTTGCACATTTGAAATGAGACCAAAATAAGGAAAAAAAAGCCCTTTGTTTTCAGGGGAAAGGTAAATCTCCATTTTGACTCATTATTTTGCTGTCAGGACTAAGTGGCCACTATTAGTACACAGGTACCCACTGGTGTAAATCTACCTCCTGAGTGTCATTGCTGAAAGTCAGAGAACTTGTGCTTCAGTGGCTAAAGATTTATTTGTTTAATGCCTGGTGTCATCAACAAATTCAGGCCAGCAATGACATCCTACTTGTCTAAGTTAATCTACAGCCTTGGACTGTCCTTGTTTTTCTTCCCATTCAAACTTATGGCTCAGTGTTGGTGCCTGCCACAAACCAACATTACAGCTGAAGTGAAAGAAGTGATGAATGAACATGAGCTTTGCATGTAGATAATTAGAAGTCCGGCTGAGTAGATCACATTATTTAATGTATCGTTATTGTGTTTGTATTTAAAAGCATCTAAACTACATTATTTCCTCTATTACTCCATCTCTGGCTCCAGGGATGAGTTGTGCTATGTGTTTTGGAAGACTTGTTTTCTAAAAAATGATGGAACCACTTGGAGTTTAAATCATTGCTCTGTTAGGTTGGTAAATTGTCCCTACTTGAGAATACTCTTGTGTCAGGAGGAAAAGTCCTTGTTTGGCTGTGCTGCATAAAGCAGGACGATATTTAATTATGACAATGAAAACTCATCTGGTTTCTCCAAGTGCAGGCAATATTGATTTACAGTTCTAATATAGAAAATGTGGAATTAAAAAGCCGGTTTATTTAGAAACTTACTTATTCCTTAAAATGTCTGTTCAGCTCATTTTTAAATTTGATTTCTTATCCCAGGTGAATTACACTGCATTTCTGAATCTCAAGAAGTGCTTGTGCCTGATAACAGCTGATCAAAGTACCAGCATGGTTTGGTCATTTTAATTGCAACATTTTTGTTTGCTGCTTTATTGGACAATGGTGTTTACAAAAGAGAGATTAAGAGCACCAGAAACAGAATTACAGAACACAGTTGGTGCATGAGACTTAGTATAGGACCAGAGTCTGTAAGGTCAGAGGCAAATGTTACCAGCTTGTAGGCAAAATTAATGTCTGATTCTGAAAAAAAAAAGCAAGGAAAATCCGTGCTAGTGTTCCAGCATGACAAACGAACTTAGGCAAGTTGAAGATAATCATGATTATTTAATATTCCACAGCTTTACAACTCGATACTCTGTGGACAAAAGATCAGAAGTCTGCTGAGTCCAAAGTTTTGAATCTTTGGGTCAATATGCTTCTCATGTCTTCAGCGTTTAGTTTAATTTAGGAGGAAACAGTTCTGAGCTAAGATAAGATCTTGGACAAAATTGACGTGGACTCACAACATGGCCTAACATAACAATTTAATCTATCCTGTGCTTCCCCTGAAAAAGGGCTTAATAACTGTGGTATGATTTCACCTGCTGCTTCTAACATTTGCTCATTCTTTTTTCCTGAGCAAATTTGGATTATCAGATGGCAAGCAGCTTTGTTCATGGTAGACAAACTTGAATTCATTTAGGATTAATAACAATGGGTTCAATCTTTGATTCAATGGCAGTCTTAATGAATGGAGTCTTTGGAAGACAAATGTTTGTTTGTGTTAAAGAGAAATAATCAATTCTCCATTTTGGGGGATATGAGGTGCTTATAGCACATATCACAAAATATTTTCCCTGTGTATCCAGCCCTGAGTATACGAACTGCAGGAATGTTCCTCAAGCCCTGGGGTTGCAAACATGGACCACTTTGACCTTGTAATTTCAAAATCTGAAGTTTCATGATGGATTATTTGGTGTGAGAAAAAACATATCTCTTACTCACAGTACTCTCAGGTCGTCTTGGTGTTCTGATGCTGGGGAGTGTGGAGAGAGGAGGGTCCACGTCACTGCGATGCATCAGCAGCTGTAGGTCAAGACAGGGTGGATCCGATGGATGAATCAAGTCTGGCTCTGCATTTTGGCCCAGTCCTCACCATTGTCTTAGATAAGGGCATCTTCCAAATTCCTGTGGGAAATCCCGCATCCTTCATTACTTCTCCTGTCTCTTGGGAAGGAACTGGAGCACACGCCACCCCTGTGCCCGGCCAGGGAGGGCTGCACTGCCCAAAACCGAGTGCCCGCTGACCTCTGGGAAAATTAGCAGGCTTCAGGAAATTTACCCTGCAGGCAGTTTTACCCTGGAAAAACATCACACACGTTGCTAGACTTTAGGACAACAAATTAGAGCATTTAATATGCACTGGAAGCTTTTTTTTTTCCCTTCCCCATACCCGCTCCCCCCCCTCCCACACCCAGTAACATCCAGTTGCTTAATTCCATTTGAAATCACCCGGGTTAGGCACCTAAATAATCTTGTCCTTCATGCCTGTCAACATCTTGAGGCACCTAACCACCTTTAGAGATGTGGTGTGAAAGCTTGTGAACGATGCAATCGAGGAGGGAAACAAAAGACAAGTATCCCTATTTGCCGCCCAAGAATCCACAAAGAATGCTGCTTCAGCTCTGCTCTGATTTCTAATTAGATTATGAGTGATGTAGGACTCTGAAGCCAAGCTGGAGTTTGTGCTAGCACTTTGCATGTATGAATGACAAAGGGACACCACTTTCATATTGATTTAGGCAGGCCAGTGGAAGAATGTTTAAACATCAAGTGCTTGATGTCCCAGTTTGCCAGAGCACCTGGAAATATCAAATTAATTCCAGGTGTTCTGCCATTAAGACAGGCTTGCTGCTTTTACAGCCACACATACAAAATGTGGCTCCCAGTTCCACAAATAAAAACGGAGTGGTTTCTGCTCCTAATACCTCGATAACTCTGACATATTGCAAGTTCTGGAAAGAATTTTAATCTACATAGGTTTCTTTTTTTTTTTTTTAAGGGGAGGGGAGCGAGGGGGGAGGGATTTTAAATATGCTGCATACAATTTGTGATGGTCATCTCTAAAATGCAGCTCCATTATCCTTTTCCATTTGGAATGAATGAGGCTAATTAATTTCAGGCCATACTTGATGAGGTCAGCACCATACGAAGGGTGCGTGCTAGACATTGCTAATCTCTTTCAGCTGAGAGTGATGAATTAAAGATGAAGCATTCCTTTGCAGGCCTAATTTAGAATGTATATCAAAAACCTACAGCAAATAATACTATACCCTACAACAAAGGAAAACTTGTTCTCTCAGGCTCCCATGTAGGGTTGATTTTAAAGGCATTTTCATTTCGCTTTGGAATTCCAGCTGTGGATGGGTGAAACAGTTCAGAAAATTCAAGCTTTCTCTCTTTCTATTGCTTTTATGGACACAAGTAGGCAAGGGGGGGCTAAGGGGAGAGCAAAACTAGTCCATGTTTGATCCTGTATATCCTGTGATTCTGACTGTACGCCCGGTGTTTAGGAAAGCTCCCAGGGTCGTGTGCTCCCCAAGTACCTGTGACGTGACACCTCCCCCCACAGCCCACACTGAAATTTTACTGTTGGGTGTTTTTTCAGTCTGAGGGGAAAGCAATCAAAGGTCCCCTTGGGTTCAGCATCATCCCAAGGATGTTTTGTTGCAGGCAGGAAACAGGCCAGGTCCAGCAGTTCTTCTGGGTCACCCAACAAGGACACAAGAGTTTCCAAGCCTTCACAGAGCTGTATTTCTCCACAGGGAAAAACACCTCCCTGTGCAAAAAGGTCCCGTCACATCTAGAAGCACAGATAGCAAAATTTGAAGGAAAAAGTCACCGCGAAAACAATCAGGTCTGGAATTGGAACAAATTGCTACAGGGCTCCCAAATTTGCTGGAGTCAAGGCTCGACCAAGCTTTGCCACCTTTCCCTTAGGCAAATCTGCCCACAAAGCCCATAGGGTTTTCCCCTGAGTGAGGGGCTGCGGGATTTGGCCCCATGAGTAGCAAGAAACTCATTTTGGTAAAACAGGGGCTTAAGAAATCCTAATCCAGCCTCGGAAGGAGGCTGCAAACAATAGACCATCGTCCTCCCCACAACTTCCCTGTTTAATACCTGGCAGTTTCTTGGAATTCTTGACAGGTTGCTGCAGCGAGTCGAGGTTCCCAACTGGTGGCCATAAGCGGCTGCCGTCTTTGTATCCCAGTAGT